TTTAGCGCCAAGTCACAACAGAAGTCATCTCAGGGCACTGAACTGAAACATTCATGCATAATAATAATAATTTAACATTCTATATCTGAGGAGCAGACTGCTTTGAGTTTAACTCCATCACACAACTCTCATCTTGAGCAAGCATGAAGGCGACAGTGGAAAGGAAAAACTCCCTCGTGAGGAAGAAACCTTCAGCAGAACCAGGCTCAGGATAAGCGGCCATCTGCTTCGACCGGCTGGGTTTGAGAGGAACAGATACACAATGGCAGGTCAAGAATCACATGTTAAGATAGAAATAGGATCAAATGAAAACTATTCAATTTTAACAAATCATTTAAGGAAAATATTGGCGTAATAAAGGTCCCTGTCCAAAATTGGGTTTCCACATCAAAATCCATGTCTGTTGCTATTCACTACATATACAGTATACACCTTCTGAGCTGGATAACTTTAAACATAAGGAACATGCTCACTTCCATCTTGGTGTGTCTGCATCTTGGTGTAACAAAGGTCCCTATCAAAAATTGGGTTTCCACGTCAAAATCTAAGATGGCCACCGCTATACATATATGCAAACCAACCACCCCTATCATTTGAGAAAACTATGCTTTCTAATTTTTGCTTTGCTTTTAAAGTATAGTTTCCTCAAATGATTGGAGTGACCAGTGTAAGTTGGCCAAAGATTAATATGTGGTGGTGATGGCCTCGATTGGCCACCCACTGGCTCCGCCATTGCGCTTGGTGGTGGATAAAATTGCTCCCGCCACTCGCCAGGATCCACCACTCTGCACCGCCTCTTATAAGCCAAAATAAAAAATATATTTCTGCTTCTGCACAATGCAACTTCAATCTACTTCAATATTGTGCATTAAAAACATTAAGGTTTACTTGCATTCTGTTTTAATTCCTGTCCAGAAAAACATTCATGTTAAAAACTACAAACGTTCAGCGATGGGGGACATCAGCGTACCGCATGTTTATTTAAAAACATCTATTTAACCAAGAAGTCCCTTGAAAATAACATCACTTGTTGGAGATGGCAGACTTTTACAAACACAAAGTTACAAGCTAAATAGTACAACAATTGTTAAACTGCATAACCACAAAAAAAAATCCAGATTCAACATAAAACAAGTACAAGTCTAGCTTGAGAATATCATTTACCCTCTTCAGTCATAGATGACTATCAAAGCTTAAAAACATTCCCAAAAAGATAAAAGCTTAAAGCTGCAGTTTGATCCGAATATTATTCTGTGACCACGATGAAAAATATGAAAACATTTATTCTACAAGGTTCAGAAAAAGTTAAAGGAGCTTTAAAAGGAAGCCAACTGAAGGGCCGCAGCTCACAACAGGCCTTTCAGAGTATTAGAAAATAGACAAATAAGTTTACCCAGTACAGCTTTGTACTTAAAAATATAATAATCCTGTTGTCTCGTTAGGTTTAAAGGCCAAGAAACCAGACTATAACCTACACATTGATACTGTACAAGGAATTTATCGGAAAACTGACAAATTCTCCATGAAGAAAAGTAAGAACCTATATAAAAATGTCCGAGGTGCATTTAAATCAAAACTCAAATGAGTAAACCATGACAAAAAACAACACAAATGACACTAACTTTGATTGATGTCTTAAGCCTAAGCACCTCAGAGGACATTTTTCACCCGTCTGGCAGGATGATTTTCTGTTTTCGAGCGTATTGGACTAGATACTGAGCGAGGAGATGAACTGCTGAGTGTTCATCCTCTCTGCTGACTTTCCAAACACCTTTGGCAGCGACTCAAAGTACTCAGGAGTTGGCCGGCCCTCATCGTTACACCGAGGACTTGTACCTGCCAGCAGCTTCACTGCTGCCATTATTTGTCACTTAGAGGCAGATATGGAAGGCTTGGGTCAGGAAAAGTTCACCCCCTGCACATTTGAAAGGGAGTTGTTGGAGGTTCTTTATGACTTGACACAATAGGTATTATTTAATGCTTTTTTTGTGTGTGTGTCACATTTGCCTGTTAATTGAAACTAGGTTCAAGGCCTTTGTCAGAAGAACAGAAGGGTTGGCTCGTATCTGTGCTCTGGTGTAAAAATAACGATGATGATAATTGTTTGGGAGTGACAGAACTTGATGACACGCTGAGGGAAATTCGGAAGAGAACACTTTGTGTTGGTAGAGTTGTGCAACACAGTGTATTGGTGTATTTATTCACCACATGTTGTCTTTAAAAGTAAGTTTCCAAGACAGACTTCACTTTTGTTCAGTCAAACAAAGATTTTCAAATCATGCATGTGTAACCATAAACATTTTGTTGCTGATGTTGATGTATGTAAAAAAAGAAAAGAAAACTTGCACTCATTTTTATACGCCTGTTGAAATATTGACAAATTATGGGATAGTCTCCGCCTATACTGACAAGAACCTGGTTTTGGATTCAGTAACTGCACCAGAATACAGAAATGGTTAAAAACGTTTATTAAAGCAGGATCTGTGGTGGAGGTCTGGGTCCGTGGGCCGCTCGGATCTGCAGAGACAGGAGTGTTAATGACTGGGCTTGGACTGTGAAGTTGCTTAAGACAAGCAAGGCAGTCACTAACCTTCACATTCAGGCAGAGGGCTGAATCCGTGAGACAGGAGGATCCGATGACGTCACCAGTGGTGGTAGAGCAGAAGCAGAGCTGTGCAGCTTAATGTGTTGAGGCCAATCCAGAATCAAGGTCCAGTAGATCGGTCCGAGGTCGTACACAAGTGGTCAGTGTTCCTAATGCATATCCTGAGGGCAAGGCGAGAGACGTAGTCGGGGCAAGGCAGAGTAGAGTTGTTACCGTGGTCAGAGAGACTGGTCCAAATCCAGCAGGGAATAAGCAAAGCGAAGAGTCCAAGAGGCAGGAAATAGGTCAGAACCAAGAAGTCAAACGAGGCTGTGGTATGAACGCTGGACATCTACTACCGAATGTTCGATAATCTGGCACTGGTTGATAGTGAACATGGAGCTTAAATAGGCAGGTGAAGAGGTGAATCTGATGAGTGTTGATTGCTGTGAGAAAACAAGGGAGGCGTGGCAAGGCTTGGAGAGAGCAGGCTTGAGCTGAAGGAAGGGCCATTTAACTAAGCAAATAGGTCTGAGCCTCCATCCTATTGGATAATTACTGCATGGGTGATTATCTTTCAGCTGCAACAAGTTATTTAACCCCAACTGGTGCAATGAGTTGCTTCTCATTTCTTAAACAACCGTGTTGAAAGACACGTCGCGTGGTCGTGGAAAAGATGTCCGTCTGTTTGAGAAGGGTCAAATCATCGGCATCAAGCAGAGAAAACATCAAAGGAGATTGCAGAACCTACTAAAATTGGGTTAAGAACTGTCCAACGCATTATTAAAAACTGGAAGGACAGTGGGGACCAATAGTGTTAGAGGAAGAAATGCGGCCAGAAAAAAATCCTGAATGATTGTGATCGGTGATCACTTAAACGTTTGGTGAAATCAAATGGAAGAAAAACCACAGTAGCACTCAGGGCTGTGTTTAATAGTGAAAGTAAAAGCATTTCCACATGCACAGTGTGAAGGGAACTCAAGGGATTGGGACTAAACAGCTGTGCAGCCTTAAGAAAACCACCAACCAGTGAGGCTAACTGGATAAAAAGGCTTCAATTTGCTAGGGAGCATAAAGATTGGACTCTGGAGCAATGGAAGAAGGTCATGTGGTCTGAGTCCAGATTGACCCTGTTCCAGAGTGATGGTGCATCGGGGTAAGAAGAGAGGCAGGTGAAGTAATGCACCCATCATGCCTAGTGTCTAGTCATCAGTGCAAGATCTTGGTGAAAAATTAATGCAACACTGGATGGAAATAGATCTTGTGACGTTGCAGAAGCTTATCGAAACAATGACACAGGGAATGCATGCTGTAATCAAAGCTAAAGGCAGTCCAATGAAATATTAGTGTGTGACCTTTTTTTTTTTTGGTGGTGACTTTTTTTTGGCCAGGCAGTGTAAATGTCATCAATGTAGTTTTTAGACCTGGACATTTGGATTTTTGGCCTCAGATGTTTTCCGTCAGAGGAGAGCTCCCATGCAGGTGTCAAAACACAGCGTTACTTTTATAGATTGTACAGAAAACTAAGGCTATGTTCATTCACACTGCAGGCAAAGGGGCCCAAATCAGTATTTGTATGTTTTATTTTTCCCATATCCAACGCTTATATAATTTTGTTGGTCTGAATGTGAAATGCGGATCAATTTAAACATTTTCCTGCACCCAGTTTAACGTCTTTTACAATAGTTGAGTAATTTTGTTTCCATAATGGAAGTGTTACTGTTGAACCACAGTTCTTCCACTTCTAACCTGATATTTCTGGATGGGTTTTTGAGAGTCTGGAGCTGATGGCACTGCTGAACATCTGATTTATTTGCCGAGTTGAGTTTCACTTGGCGACCACTTCGCCTACGATCTTCAGCTCTGCTTGTTTTTTTTTGTTTTTTTTGTTCAAAGTTCTCGAATAGCACATCCTGAAACTGATCTGCTTTGAAACTTTTGTCTGGGACGTATGTTGCTCGTGCTCAGTCTGACGTGAGACATGAAACTTTTAAACCTTTTATATGACTATTATCTACTGGTATTTAAAATAGTGACTGTGGTTTGCATCCGTTGCAAGGCGGTGACTTTTTTCATACATGTAATAAATGTTTTTCCACTCTGAGTCCTTGTCAAGTCAGATCAGCACACAGATTTATTTAAGTTTCTCAGTTTGTACAGAGCGTCTAAACATTGTAACAAACGGCCACATCTCTGACGAAATGTTTACCTGAAGTCACTCCACCCCCAACCTGCTGCTGCTTTGAGCATAAACAGACGAATATTCATTTGTAGTTTTCTCTGAGTAAGAAACTGAAAGCATCACGACGTGTTGTCATCGTCTGGAGCAGTTGCCACCTCGCCCCGTGAGTAAACTCTGACACACGGTGAGCTCGGCTGACACGCTACCATCTGTGTTGTGTTCTGTGTGCTGCAGGATCCCTGGCAGGCTCAACGACAGACGCACGCCGCTCGGAGAGCTCAACTGGATCTTCACCGCCATCACCGACACGATCGCCTGGAACGTGTTGCCCAGAGGTGAGGCTTCACCCTCAGTCTGGTTCAACACGACAAAGTCCTGCTCACTGCGCTGTCCCGTCCAGCTTGGACTTAAGATAAAACAGATTGTACTTTAGGGTGTTTGAATTTAAAATGTGAACTCTATTACCCAGAGGCAGATAAAACCTAACGCTCACCAGCTGCTCAACAAGCAACTAGCATTTTGTGTCAAAAGTGTAACATTTTATTATTTTTTTATTCTCCCATCAAAGGCAGGATATGGTAAAATCTCTGCCCATAAACTTTCTTATGTCCTGCCCATAACTTCTGATCTGTTCAACATAACTTAACAAAACTTCATACACATATACATCATCACCGGACAGTTGCGTAACCTTTTCATCACCCCAGCTCAAAGGTCAAGGTCACAAATCAAGGTCAAATTCATTCATTCAACCTTTATTTATACAGGTTAATCCCATTGAGCCTCAGGGACTCATTTACAAGAGAGATCTGAAGTTAACAAAGAGCGATGACAACAGTGGACAATCATAAAAGGATGCATACAAATAGAGAATAGCAAGTGAAAATAAAATGGTATTAAAAAAACAGCTAGTTTTTAAGGCAATGTAGAAAACTAAAAACGAGAACATGTCTGCTTGGTTTTTGCCAGGAACTTAGATGAGGTCAAAGTTGACAGCTTCAGATCTTTTTGCAAAATATTCCAGGAAACAGGAGCAGAGTAGTAGAACACCCTTTTGTCTAGTTTAGGCCTGTCACAATAACAAATTTGGCTGGGAAATTAATTATCTCAGAAATTATTGCGATAAACGATAATATTGTTGGAAATTTGACAATAATTAGTAGTTGTCCAATTTAAGAAGAAATGTTGGTTAATTAGTTTTGAGTGCAGTACCTTTTTTGACCACCGGATGGCAGTATAAGATTGTTTGAACCAAAGGATGGATAGTGAGGGAGGAGCAGTGTCTCTTTAAGAAAAATGGGAGGGAGGCCCCTTGACGTGACATGGGCTGTCTCTCCTTCCTTTTTTTCGGCTCTCAAAATGACGGATGCTCGGTGTGGTTTGAGCTCCTTAGCATAACATTTTTCACACAAAGCTTTTAATAAAATTTAAAAAATCAGTAAAGAAGTTCTCAGCTTCTCTTTGCAGAGAAAAACAACTTTTTAGACGAAGACACGGGTTTCAATCGTGAATTTTGGAGCTTCGACAAGACAAAGGTTTTTTCCCTGAGGTCGGCCTGTTAGCTAAGCTCGTAGCTTAGCTTCTCAGCTTAGCTGCTTTTAATGGTTTAAAATACGCGATTTTGGACGGTTAAAACAGATTTTAAAGAGAAAGGGAGGGGTCAGTGAAGAGCACCAGAGTTGAGCTTTTTGTCTTCGAGTGTCTTCAGTAGAAAGAGAGACACGAAGATACGATAAAGCTGATAAATGAAAATGAGTTTGATCATTTTCATTTATCATGCGATTAATTGATTTATTGTTTATTGTGACAGGCCTAGCTTAGTCTGCACTGAGGGAACACTGCATGTAATAATGTCCTGAGAATACAAGAATACAACTACAAGGTCTTTGTACAGGCCATTGCTATAAATTGCTGAAAGGCAAGAGCTCTGGGGCTGGACATCCAGCAGTTATTGTCATTAAACAAGTATGGCGTTAACCTGTCTAAATAAAGGTTGAACGAATGAAAAAAGTAAGCGTTATGGTTTAAAACCTAGTTTAATTTAAAAATGAACCCATTGGTGGGCCAAACTGAGTTCATCGTTGGGCCTGATTTGGCCCCCGGGCCGCCAGTTGAACAGCCCTGTACTAGAGATTGATCTTTTTCTTCTGATAAACTTTCAGAAACATTTGTTGTAAAATTGTTCGCATCAATTGTTGGCATACAGACCAGACACTACTGAAGGATTTATGTATGCCGTAATAGTTTCCATTTCTTTTCTTTTTTTTTACATTAAGGAAAACGTTGGAACACCAATCAAACCAACAAACAAGTGTCAAACCCATTATCGTTATGTTTTTAAAACTCGTTAGCAAATGTACTTCTAGGTAAAAAGCAGGAAATCTCAGGTGGTTTATGATATAAAAACATTGATTTTTATTAAGTTACAGTTAACATCGTTTGAGGACTCAATGCAGTAAAAATAAACGAGTCCAGTTTAATTCCAGTCAAAATGCAGGAAGCTGCTTATTCTTATGAACATATTAATCAATTAGTAGAACCGTAATGAAATTGTATTTTCAACTTTCTAAATGAATATTTTCACGATCTATATGACCTTAAAGCATGTGTTGAGGATGACTCAACTACTGCCACGTCAAGGTTTAACTCAGTATCTGTAAAAATGATCAAGTTGTAGCCATTTTCTGTTAGTTTAGGTCCGTTAGTTGTGGCAGCCATCTTGAATCAAGTTGACACCAACAGTTGTAAATGTACATCTGATATTTACTTCCTTGTAGTTGCATTAAAATCCGTCCACGTCATGAATTATTTTGCTAACAGACCAGTGAACACTCTCACAGATCCAGGCAATCATGTTATAAAAATAAAATCTCATTATATATTTTGCTTTAATAAGCCGGTTACTGATGTTGGCGTAGAGCTTGCAGATTCATCACAGCCCGTCTAATTTCCTCGTTTGAACGTGTCGTGGCAATGATGACAAATGAAAAGTCTCGTGTGTTCCAGCTCTCGGGGAACCAGAACTGGGACATCTTTTATAAAATAAACTGTATTTCTTGGTGTCAGCAGTACTTTAAGGCTTTCAGAACATCCCCAGTGGCTGAAATCATCAAGTTGTTGATCAAATATGCCTGAGGAGCCGTTTGAGCAGGTTGGCTTTCCAAATTGAGATTAATTCTGTTTAGAGTGTCTAACGCTTTAATTGGGGATTTCGCTTCTGCCATAATTTTGCAGGCAGCATGCAGGTGTGCACACACAGACCACTAACCATCACCCACAGGTAGACACAGACAAATGTGTCTGCACATTTACAGCTCACTGAATTAAAGTTATATTTTGGTGAAAAGTGATTCAGTAAAGTGGTTCTCTAATGTCTTGGTTCCTATAGTTACTCCACGGCGAACCATGAAATGGCAAGGACAGGATTCTAAGATGATCTAGAGATTTCAAACTAATCTTAAAAATGGTTGCAGATTGAATAATTTTTGGTATAAATAAATTTTTTGAAAAATTTAAACAGGACTCTGGAATTAATAAAAACATACTTTTAATGCTCGTTTTTCTTTACGTGAGACCCTCGTTTAATGATTAGTGGTGTTGGTGTTCATACATTTTAATTATTAATAGTTTAGGTCACTAATCTGTAATTTACTTGTAAACCTTGACGACTTAACCACTGGTCTGATGTGAGTCTGCACATCGCTCTTTAGCATGTGTTTGTTTGTGTGCACCACACTAAAAACAGCTGTCTCAGGACTTCAGAAAGAAGATTATAGCCACCCATGTTAACTTTAAAGGCTATAAAACCATAGTTCCACACAACTTCATGTTCCTCTGACCAAAATTGACATGATTAATAAAAAATATAAGGTTTGTGGCACTGTAGACAATTTCCCAGGATGTGGACGCAAGAAGCCATACGACCCCAGGTTGATCAGATGAATAGTGCAGATGTTATAAAAAGGGTTAAATAAATCCTAAACCATTCAAGTGAAGGTCTAGATACGTCGTTTTCGGATCAAACCATCTGTCACTCATAATAGGCTGTGAAATAAGACCCAGGAGAACTCCCACCACTGACAGAAAACACAAAAACAGACAGAAAATCGCCGATCTGCAAAGTTTCTGGAAGAAGTTTCAAGTAAGGAGTCGCTGCAGAACAAGAAATGTGCCGGTCGTCCCCTAACGTAGTAGGGTCCACCCAGAATGGGTGGGTTGCACTCATGAAAAGTGATTGGCCCGATCCACGGATTCAGGAAGTAGGAGTTCCAAAATAAGAAGCTAGTTTACGTTCACTAAGGCTTAAATGGGTAATTAGCAAAAATGAATTCCACCATCTATTCTCAGACATTTAAATAGAATAGCTTGAACTAATGTGTCATTTCAATATAATTTAAGAAAAGTGTTATTTAGTTTTAAACCAGTCATTGTGTCTTCAGGCTGCATATTTGGCTATAAAGGGATCCGAGTTATACCACAATTCATGTGTAAAAAAACAACCAAAACAATTTACATTTTTGCTACACCTAGCAAACATGTATTAACAAGCACCTACCTTTAAAGTTATAACAAAGAATGCACAAAATAAACGTTAAAAATGGTTTATCGCAGAATAAATGCTAATTAGTGTAAAAGAACAGAGACGAGTACAATTACTGTAATAATAAAGTTTTGAATGGCCATGTCATTCGTTTATTCTTTAGCTTTATGCTAATTAATTAGCTAAGTCTGAGCTAATGTGATATAGCTCTTTTTTATTGAAACACCACATTCCTGACTCTTGGGTCAATCGCATTTTGTGAGTCCAGCCCGCCCATTCAGTGTGGACCCTCCCACGTTGAGCAAGACCCGCCCCGTTGTGTTCAACAGGGACATGTACTTGGAAGTTTCAGAGTCTGATGCGATGAAACTCTAGCTTTATGGGTAGTCGCATCAGCCGTGCTTTATATTGTGATGGAAGGACACCAGCAGATTCACCCATTGTGTGTAGATATTTGCATTCACGGCACATTCAGAATACCTCATCGCTCACCTGTTTCATCTTTGCCACTCACATCCAGTCACAGACCCAGAGACTCCCAGGAGGCAAACTGTATCCCAGTTAGAATTGCAATGTGACAACGCTGATGGCTGCCAAAGCCTTTTTAAAGCCTCGGGGCTCTGCTGGTAATGAAGCAGCCCACATCAGAGAGGAGCCCCGTAATGAAGGTACTAGACACACACACTGCAGCTGTGCACTTGGTCCCTAATCTGAAAAATCCCCCGCACATAAACAGTGAAATTATATTCATAAGCCAGAAGAGTGGCAGGGGATGGACTGTGCCTCATAAGAGGAAATGACTGAACACATTAATGAGATAAGAAAGTGTTAGACTCATCTTTTAAACCTGGAGTTTATCGTTCCCTGTATTCTGTAATTAAATACACAATACTGTAGTGAGTCACGTGGGTACGTGTCACTTGTTGTATGACAAATATATGTGTATATATTTATGCATACTTTTCACGAGTTCTTCATTTTTCTGACTGTGTAATGTCGTGCATTGAATTTAAAGGAATGCGAACGAGAGACGTTATTATCTTTGACCCATCAAATGAATGGAGTCATTTATTTTCAGAATCAAAGTTTAACATCAAACATTTACATTAATTTGGCAAAATATGAAAATAATAACAGACAGTTTCACAAATAATGAACTTCAAATCACTCGGCGGTGATTTGAGGACTTTGCTTCAGATATTTCTAAAATATCTGTACTGATTTTGTGAGAGAGAAGAGTTTAAGATGAAAGGAGATTATCTTACAGAGAACTATGTGAGGGAATTTAATCTGTTTGACCAGAAATTGCACGCTCCGTCAGATCTCAGCTTTGCCCACGGTACACTTGGTCGAAGAAGAAGTTTTACCTTGTTGATGATCGATCACCTCAGTAAGAATCCTTTTCAACTGATATCAGCGTCTCCGTTGAGAACTGCTAAAATCCTTAGAGAGTCGTGCGTGGTTAGCTCAAACAGAAATTATAATTCCAAACGTCTCTGGATTCTCGGCAACTCCAAAACTCTCCATAACTCTAGTTCTCTTCTGAACTCCTTCAGAACTTTTCCATTCTCCATGGAATCTACTGCACTCTTTGGAACCGACTGCACTCTAGACTCGACTCATAGAACCGGGAAGTTGTCACATTTTAAATGAGTTTACTTCCGAGTTTACTTCAGAGCTTTCTGATTCGTGGATGGACCAGAAAGAGGAGTGGTTTTTTGACGTAAGTTATTATCAAAAGTCAAGGATTGTTTTCAACATACAGAAAAGATTATTGCAGTCGACCAGACTTCGTGGAGTCTCACACTTGGTAATCTTTTCAAATAGTAAAACATGACATTTCTTCTTCAGTAAACATTTTAGTTGACCGAAAACCAACCTTTCACATACTTACGACTTGACTCATTTCAGACAGAAAATCAAGAAATGCATATTCAGGTGATTTCTTCTTTGAATGAGGAATAAAAATCATTACTTACTGTTTATGTAAAATAAAAATGAGTAGTTCTTTTCAACCTGTAAAGCATTGAGTGAACTAACACAATTTGATTATCAAAACATTTGTAAGACAGTAATGATTATAAAGAATTGTCTTTTCTGCTTGATTAATTCAAGAAAGAAAGTCATCAGATGGCCCAGACTTATTCAGATTAATGAAAATAACAGTCTCTGTCCATCTGGTAGATTTGAGGTCAGATAGGGGTCAGACCAGGTTCACTACAATACTGTCTGCTTGTCTTTAAACTGATCACTTTCCTCTAATTATCTTCAAAGGCCACACTGTTTTGGTCCAGTACTCAATAAACTTTGTACCTTACAAAGGTCTTGTACACACTATTCTGTGTACTTTTACTAAGGTCAAGTACTCCGTAA